ACGGTGGCTCCCGCCAAGGCGCTTACATGCCATTTTACCCTGTGGACATGGAAAGCCATTAGAGAATATTAAACAGGAGAGACAGCCGGGTGCTCTTGGGCAAGTTCCTTACCCATCTGTGTTTCAGCGTCTTTTTTTTTCCCCCAGAGTGGGGGCGGGGGGCGGGGGGACACCTCGATTGGCTGCTTCCCGCTCTGCCCGCCCCGCCGGGATCAAACCGGGGGCCTTTGGTGTGTGGGCCAGCGCGCCAGCCACTGAACAAATTGGCCGGGTCTCTTTCTTTTCTTTGTATTTTTTAAATTGATTTGAGAGAGAAACATCGATTTGTTGTCCCGCTTATTTGTGCACCGTGGGTTGATTCTTGTGTGTGCCCTGGCCAGGGATCGAACTCAAAACCTTGGCCTATCAGCATCATGCTCTAGCCAACCGAGCCACCGGCCAGGGCTGTGTTGCATTTCTTTACCAAATAGGACATGATAATAAAACTTTACAGGATTCAGACGATTAAATGAGTCCGTTTAGTCTCAGCACCAAGCACGGGCGTTGCAGCCAGACACATACTTAGTCCCGTCCTTTACACTACCTGCTGTGTTATCCTGAGCAAAGAATTTAATATTTTTAGCCGTGGTTTCCTAAAGGCCTGCCTCACGTGGCTACTATGCCTGACACATAACACAATGCCCAACATGTAGTTGATGCTTGGCAAAAGTTAGCTCCCTTTGAAATGGTGTTTTCAAACTAAGTTGCAACCCAATAGTGGATATTGAAGTCAATTTAGGGATTGCAAATCGCATTTAAAAACAAAAACAGCGGAAACTATTACATATAGCAAGGCTGAGCATTGTTTCTCAAAACAGCTGTCTATATAAATGTGTCTATATAAATATGTGTACACATTCTCTAAGCTATGATTTTTTACTTTACAATATTGTAAAAGTGGTATACATAATAGATTACATTAGATATTCAACCCTCTATCATAGAATAGGCTCTGTAGTGGATGATTTTGCTCAACTGTAGGCTAATGTAAGTGTTCCTAGCATGTTTAAGGTAGGCTAGGCTATGCTATGGTGTATTAAATGCATTTTCATCTTACAATATTTTCAATTTATGAGGGATTTATCGGGATGTAAGTACATTGTAAGTTGAGGAATATTTACTTGTGAACTGGGGGCCTTATGATATTTATTTCATATTCCATGTTCTGGTCAGAAATATTTTTTCAGTGCTTTAGAAGGATAACAACAGAATGCTTGGCAGAAAGAGAAGCATCAAACTGAATAAATATCCGGGTTTACCCCTAATTGTGAGTCTCCTCTCTGAGACTGTGTGAACAATGATAGAGATGATAATGTGTTTCCTTCCCAGGTCATGGAGGACACTCAGGCTGTTACCTGGGAGGTTGAAGAAGAGGAGGAGACAGAGAGACCCAGTGACTCCTTGGGGTGTAGCCTGGAGCCCCTAGGACGACTGCATGTCTTCAGTAGTGCCCATGGACCAGAAAAAGGTCGGGATAGTGATACTGAAGCACTAGTGGAGGCTCTTTCTTCTGTGGGGAGGGATTGGAGGGTTCTAAGAAACTTACCTATATATTTTGTTAATCTTCACCTGAAAATATTTTTTCCATTGATTTTTAGTAATTTTTTAAAAACATGTTTTTATTGACTTCAGAGAGAGAGGAAAGAAGAGGGAGAGAGAGAAACATCAATTACAAGAGAGAATCATCGAACAGCTGCCTCCTGCATGCCCCCTTCTGTGGATCAAGCCTGAAACCCAGGCATGTGCCCTGCTGGGAATGGAACCGTGACCTCCTGGTTCATGGGTTGATGCTCAACCACTGAACACACCAGCCAGGCTCCATTAATTTTTAGAGAGGAGAGAAGGAAAGAGAAACATTCATGTGAGAGAGAGAACATCAGTTTGTTGCCTCTCGCATGTGCCCTGACTGGGGCCTGGGATCGAACCTGCAACCTAGGTACATGCCCTTCACGGAATCAAACCCACAGCCTTTTGTGCATAGGCCAGCACTCTAACCACTGAGAAACACCAGCCAGGGCAAAACTTGTTTTCAAGGAGATCTGAAAAAATGTTTTACTGGGAATGGAGAAGAAGGGGCTAATTGACTTGTTCCAGGCAAGAGCCCTGGACTTGGGATGGTTTTACTGTACACTTAAAAAGGGTTACAGTGCTCGCCGAAACCGGTTTGGCTCAGTGGATAGAGCGTCGGCTTGCGGACTGAAAGGTCCCAGGTTCGATTCCGATCAAGGGCATGTACGTGGGTTGCGGGCACATCCCCACTAGGAGATGTGCAGGAGGCAGCTGATCGATGTTTCTCTCTCATCGATGTTTCTAACTTTCTATATCTCTCACTTCCTCTCTGTAAAAAATCAATAAAATATATATAAAAAAAAGGGTTACAGTGCTATATTTTATGTTTATTTTATCACAATAGAAAAAATCCAGTATGGATGGGTGGAGTGTTGCCTATGAATAATGCATTGCATATAATCTTCAATACTTAGATGTCCTAGGGCCTTTTATTTTTCTATTGCGTGTGAGGACCTTGAATGAGTAGTTGGGTACTTAACCAGAAATTTTCCCAGTAGCAGGCCAGGAATGTGGCCTGGAACCTATCTACCCTCTTAATTCTTAGATTTCCCACTCTACCTCGGGAAAAACGTGGTAGGCCGAATGCCTGATTGCTCTGTGGCCCTGCCCTTTCCATCCATCTCCAAGCAACATGCAGTGATTGAAATCTTGGCCTGGGACAAGGCACCTGTCCTCTGGGATTGTGGGAGCCTCAATGGTACTCAAATCCTGAGGCCTCCTAAGTTCCTGAGCCCTGGGGTGAGTCATCGTCTGAGGGACCAGGAGTTGGTTGTCTTTGCTGACTTGCCCTGCCAGTACCATCGCCTGGATGTCTCCCTGCCCTTTGTCTCCCGGGGCCCCCTAACTGTAGAGGAGACACCCAGGGTACAGGGAGGAACTCAACCCTGGGGGATCCTATTGGCTGAGGACTCAGAAGAGGAAGTAGGTAAGTGTATGTATTTGGGAGGGTGGGCAAGGAGACGGGGATGGTGAATGTAAAACTGTCAACTTCTTTCCACTCTTGGCAGATCCTCTTTCTGAAAGGCATGTGGTGAACGAACCAAGGACCATGTTCTCCCCTTTGGCAACAGTCGTTCCAGAGAGGTGAGTGTTGAGGGCCGGATACCTGAGTCTTCAGAAAGAGAAGGAACCGGGGACTGAAGGATCCATCTGTAAGAGAGAATCATCATGGAAATCGTCATCTTACATTAACTGAATTTTCATTGAGCACCTTTGATGTTCCAAGTGGAGAACTAATTGCTGGAGATAGAAAAACAAATACTACCTTGTTTCTGCTCTCCAGGAGCTCACACTTGAGTCAGGTGTCCCTTCCTGGGAAATGATTCTATAAACTCTTTCTCTTCTCTTCCCTTTATAGTGATGAAGAGGGGCCTTCTTCTGCCCCAGATGGTCCTGGGCCACCTTATGCCTTCAACTTGGACAGTGACACAGATGAGGAAGGAAGTCAGCAGCCAGCAGCAGGGTGGGCCTCCGCAGCTGCCACAGGAGATGCTACCGCAGAGACAGGGCAGCCTGAGGCTGTCAGGACTGAAATCCAGGTGGAAAAGGACCCGTCTTTGGGGCAGGAGAGGAACAGTAACCGAAGAGTCAAGAGAGATGCAAGCAATGGGGTGATTCTGGAGAGGAGCCCGCCCCCTGGGGAGGACAGTGAGACAGATGTGGAGGATGAGAGCAGGACTCCAGGAAAGCCAGCTGAGGGTCATCTCGAAAGGGCCCAGCCTTCTGGCTTCATAGACAGTGATACTGACGTGGAAGAAGAGGGGATTCCCACGACCCCAGCTGTGGTGCCCGTGAAAAGAAGGCAGATCTTCCATGGAGTTCATGCAGAGAGCCCTGGGGGACCTGACCTGGCACATCTTCACGAAAGCCCGGCTGGCAGTGAGACAGATGTGGAGGAGGCTGAGGCCCCACGCACGGTCCCTCTGGAGCGAAGCCAGGCCTCCATGGTGAGCAGCAATGTAGATGATGAGGAAGGAGTGTCAGCAGCACTCACTTTGGTGCATCTGAAGGAGAGCCGAGCCGCTGCCTGGAACAGAGATACAGATGTGGAAGAGGACCGAGCCCAGCCTCCGACTTTTCCTGAGCAAAGCCAAACCTCTGCTGGGAGAGACAGTGACACAGACATGGAGGTGGAGGGCTTCCCCGTGGAAAAGAGAGGCTACGTTCCCAAGAGTCACACGGACAAAGCTCAGCCAGAAAAGAGCCCGCCTCCTTTCAGGGACAGTGACAGAGACGTGGAAGGAGAGAAGAGCTCACCCGGAGCCCTGGAGAGAAGCCAGGCCTCTGCCACAGTGGGCATCAACACACACGTGGAAGAGGAAGTCTCCCCGGGGCCAGCTGTTACACTCCCAGAGAAGCAGGAGGTGCCCGTGGCAGGCACAAGTCCAACAAATGTGGAAGCAGAAGGGGGCCCAGCAAAGCTGCCTGCCCTGCACCTAGAGGAAGCCCGGCCTCCTCCAGGTGGGTGCCGTGGAACAGGTGCTGCGGAGGGTGCGTCCTCCACAGTGGCAGGTGGAAGAAAGAGCCAGCTTCCAGCAGAAGGGGATGCTGGGACGGGTGGGTGGTTCCTGTCCTTCAGCCAGAGAGAGCTCTGGAGGCGGCAGCCCAGGGTGGGTCACCTTTAGCACAAGTAGAACAGGACCATCTCCTTGTCTCAAGGGAGAACCTAACAGATCTCTTGGTAGACACAGGTACTGCAGGGGCACCCACCCAGGCACAGAGAAAGGGAGCCCAGCCCCCCAGAGAAAGTGGGGGAGAACCACATGTGGACATGACCAAGGACTGTGGACACAGCCATGATGGTAAGTGCTGGGCTGCTCTCCTTCCTTGATCTCTGAGATAAAGAAAGCTTACAGGGAGACTTAATCCATTCAGGCTGCTGCAACAAAATACCAGAGGGGATGGCTTGTAAACAGGAAACATTCCTCACAATTCTCAAGGCTGGAAAGTCTAAGATCAAGGCACCAGCAGATTCAGTGTGTGGTGAGGGCTTGCTTCCTGTTCATAGGTGGCCCACTTCTCACCATGTCCTTAACTGGCAGAAGGGCACAAGGGTGCTCTTTGGGGTCTCTTTTATAAGGGCACTAATCTCATTCATGGGAGCTCCACCCTGAGGACCTAATCACTTCCCAAGGCCCCTGCCTTCTAGTGCTATCTCATAGGGATATTAGAAATAAGAAGGGGGGTGGACTCTTCCCACAAGGGGCCAAATGTGGCCCCTGAAAATGGTTCACTATTCACTTGACCCAGAAAACCCCACAAAATCACGCAAATCGAGAGGCTCAGGTCTTCGTGTTCACTGTAAGAACTCGTGACACTGCCCAGGCCGTCGAGGGCTTGCATGTCTAAAAAGTCACCAAGTATCTGAGGATGTCACTTTACAGGAGCAATAGGTGTCATTCCATCATTACAATACCTACCTGGGCTGGTAGGTATGCCCAGGCCAAACAGTGGGGCTGGACACAGAGTCGGTGGCCCAAAAAGAGTGCTGATTTTTGCTACACACGCTTAAAATGCAGAGAGCTTAACTTAAGGGTTTAGCTGTAGACTCTCTGGTCACTGAGCACATCCAAGTGAACAAAGTCCCCAAGATGTGGCATAGAATTTGCAGCGCTCATGGCGGATTACCCCCCACATGAGCTCTCCATGCCACCTGGAGGTGACTACAGAAAAGGACCAGGTGGTTCCTAAACCAGAAGAGGTTGCACAGAAGAAAAACGTGTCCCAGAAGAAAGTGAGGAAACAAAAACTAAGACCCGGGAGTAAAGTTAGCATAAAATAAGTACCAATGAAAGTTTTGGTGTTTTTTTTTTAAAGAATGTGTGGTCCTAGACCTAGCCGCTTTGGCTCAGTGGCTAGAGCAGGGGTGGGCAAACTTTTTGACTCGAGGGCCACAATGAGTTCTTAAACTGGACGGGAGGGCCGGAACAAAAGCATGGATGGAGTGTTTGTGTGAACTAATATAAATTCAAAGTAAACATCATTACATAAAAGGGTACGGTCTTTTTTTTTTTAGTTTTATTCATTTCAAACGGCCGGATCTGGCCCGCGGGCCATAGTTTGCCCACGGCTGGGCTAGAGTGTCAGCCTGTGAACTGAAGTTGTCCTCAGTTCAGTTCCAATCAAGGGCATGCACCTAAGTTGTAGGCTCAGCCTCTGGCCCTGGTTAGGGCTTGTGTGGGAGGCAATCTCACCTCGATGTTCCTTTCTGTCTCCCCCTCCCTTCCACTCTCTCTAAAAATCAATGGAAAAATGTCCTTGGGTGAGGGTTAACAACAAAAAGAAAATAATGTGGGGTGGGACACAGACATTCAGTCTTGCGTAGGGATTTGAGTTGAGGAGAGAATTGTAGAGAAAAAGTAAGACATGGGTCAGATGTGATTTTTTATTCTGTATTTCTCCACCACCAGATTCTGAAGATCTAGACCAACAAGCTACCCAGTGCTTTGTGGAGAGAGAGAACCAGAGCCTGGAAGGTGAGGGCATTTGTGTCATGGGGATGCTGTACACAGCAGGAGCAGGGAGATTACACTGGTGGCCCTTGAAGGGTGTGAGACTGGCCTAGGCAGGGCAGGAGACTGAGAATGGCCTGGAGTTCTGTGCTCAGGCCACCTTTTCCTGTGCAGCAGTCCCGAGCATGGAGGATGAGCCCACCCAGGTCTTCCTGTTTGCTCCACCCCAAGAGCTTGGCCCTTCCCATTGCAGCTTCCAGGCCTCAGGTATAAGAAACTCCCCTCCTCTGTGCCCCTAACTTTGCCTCCTGTTTTCTCCCTATACATGTTTCTTTCATATTATTTTATTTTTTTGCTGATGTTTCTCCATCTTACTAAGGGAAGAAAGTCATATTTAGTTAAAACCATAGAGCAACTTGTCTAGCATAACTTTTACACTTGATCTTAGCCAAAAGACCAAGAAGCGTTCTGTAGCATAGTTTTTAAGAGGCTGCTGTGAGAGCTTTTATATGAAGTATGGTCTTACTTTTTGAAACAAGCATTAAAAGTTACAACTATCCTCCTTACTCGTAGCTTTTTATAAATAGCCCATATAGATTTATTGTTCATGCATTTACCTTAATTCTTTCTCAACCTGTTACCTCCTCTCTCTCTCTCTCTCTCTCACACACTCTCACTCTCTACTTCCAGGTGCCCTGGATGAGCCTTGGGAAGTCTTGGCTACACAGCCATTCTGTCTAAGAGAATCTGAGGCCTCTGAGACCCAGCCCTTTGCTACCCACCTGGAGGCCCATGGGTCTTGCCCCTTGTCACCCAGGCCAACACCTCAAGACCAACATCTGGAAAACCCATTTCACACAGAGCCATTGGGGATTCAAGGCGGAGGGTTGCAGACTTCGGAGAAAGGCATGGGTACACCAAGAGAAGCAGCAGAGAGGGTGACCCCAAAGAGAGAACCATTAGAGAGGGAAATTAGAAAACTGCCACCAGCAGGGTCAAGAGACGATGTGATGGGAGAGGAAGAATTAACCAGGGTGATGAAGGACAGGGAACAAAAGCAGGTGTTGGCTAGAGACACTCGGAGACAAGAGTCCAATAAAACTGGAAAGTGCAAGTATGGAAAGGGATATAGAGAGTTTGAAGGTAGAAATTGAGACACCCAAGGAACTACAAGAGGTGGTAAAGCAGTCTTTTGCAAGAGAAGTATTTAAGAAGGAAGCAGGGAAACTAGCACCAGAGGAAGATTGTGAGCCAGGTAGGTTAGAAGTCAGCATATCCAAAGTAATACTGGAAGGAGGCGCACAGAGAGGGAGCCAGGACCAGAAAGGGCAGCCCTCCAGTCCAACACTGGACCCTGAAGGAGGGGCAGGGGACCTTGTGGACTATCATTAGCCCTGATAGCGTCTAGGAGCCAGTCAGGTGGAGGAAGGTAAGTCCCAGGAGGCAGCAGAGAGGTGAGTGAAGGCAGAGGGTAAGACCCACCCAGGTGTTAACAAAGCCTTATGACAACCCCTAAGTAACTGCCTGCTTGGACCTCAGCCACACTTGTCTTTACTTTCTGTCTAGGACCCCTGAATTGCAAGATGTCCCCGGCTGAGAAGGCTTCTAGGGTGAGAGCTGCTTTCTCTACCTCCCCTCCACTGCCCCTTACCAGACCTTGCTTTCACCTGCTCTGCCCCGTCTTCTCCACTGTCGTCATTTCCACACTCTCAGTTGGCCTCTGGCCCTTTACATTGGCACCTGTTGTTTTCAGTCTATCTGTCCCAGTTGTTTCCCTCTCCCTGACTCAGAAAGAACATCCCTTTCTTCATGTCCCTTCCCTCTTTTCCCAGCCACCCATGGTCCATATATTGACAGCACTGTCCTGGCCTCACGGGGAGAGGTCTGTGGGAAGTCCCAGTCTAATGGAAGATGGTCAGAGACAGAAAGAGAAATGCCAGTGAGCGTACTTCCACTGTAACAAGTATTGAGAACAGTGTCCAGTCCTCTGTCTCTCCCTCACGGGTTTCTATTTCTCCCCAGGGTGATCCAGGATCCCTAGATGTTTGTCTGCCTCCAGCAGTCCCTGAAGCCTCAGCCCCAGTCCAAAACCCCCTCATCCCTCAGAGCCAAAAACATCTTGCTTCTCAGCCCCTCTTTGCTCCATCTCCACCTTTAGAGTCGCCCATTCCCAGCTCCAGGCAAAATGGGAGTCAGGAAGCTCTGGAGGATCCCTTGTCCTCAGAGCTGGACCCTCTGCATGCAGAATCCAAATGCAGGCCCCAGGGGTGCTCCAGGGTGACACCCTCTCCAGCTTCTGTAGCCCCTGAGCTCCACCCTGCCCCCTCCAGAGAGCAGCCTGCCCCCCCTGAACCCACATCTCGGGCCACGCGGGGCAGGACACATAGGGCCTCTGTCGGGACCCCTGAAACGACTGTCCCCACAGACCAGCCTGTCCCCCCTAAGCACACAGCTCGGGCCACGCGGGGCAGGACACATAGGGCCTCTGTCGGGACCCCTGAACCGAGTGTCCCCACAGACCAGCCTGTCACTCCTGAGCCCACATCTCGGGCCACACGGGGCAGGACACACAGGGCCTCTGTTAAGACCCCTGAACCGACTCTCCCCACAGCCCCTGACCTTGAACCTCCGACCCCTACAGACCAGCCTGTCCCTCCTGAGCCCACATCTCGGGCCACGTGGGGCAGGAAACACAGGGCCTCTGTCAAGACCCCTGAACCGACTGTCCCCACAGTCCCTGACCTTGAACCTTCGACCCCTACAGACCAGCCTGTCCCCCCTGAACCCACATCTCGGGCCACGCGGGGCAGGAAACACAGGGCCTCTGTCAAGACCCTTGAACCGACTGTCCCCACAGTCCCTGGCCTTGAACCTTCGACCCCTACAGACCAGCCTGTCCCCCCTGAGCCCACTTCTCGGGGCACGCGGGGCAGGACACACAGGGCCTCTGTCGGGACCCCTGAACCGAGTGTCCCCACAGACCAGCCTGTCACCCCTGAGCCCACAGCTCGGGCGACGCGGGGCAGGACACACAGGACCTCTGTCAAGACCCCTGAACTGACTGTCCCCACAGCCCCTGACCTTGAACCTCCGCCCCCTACAGACCAGCCTGTCCCTCCTGAGCCCACATCTCGGGCCACGCGGGGCAGGAAACACAGGGCCTCTGTCAAGCCCCCTGAACCGACTGTCCCCACAGCCCCTGACCTTGAACCTCCGACCCCTACAGACCAGCCTGTCACCCCCGAGGCCATAGCTCAGGGTGGTCGGAGCAGGACACTGAGGTCTACAAGAAGTGCTGTGCCAGTTCCTACCACCCCTGAATCCCAGTCTCCTTTCCCCACAGACCAGCCTCTTCCCCCTGAGCCCATCCCTCAAGCCAATTGTAGCAGGAGGCCAAGGCTCGCTAGGCAGCCCCTCGCAGCTCCCATTGTCTATGAACCCTGCTCTGCACCCCTTGAGCCTAACGCCTGGCCCTCAAGGAGCCAAAGGCAAGGAGCAGTGAGAGCAACCAAGTCCCTTAGGACCATTCCTGAGCCTGCCTTTGCCCAGCTTCCTGGGGCACCCACTCATGCTCTCCAGATCCAAAAGGTAGAGGCAACAGGTGGATGTGAGTTCAGCCCAGGGTCCCAGCCTAAGGCCTTTCAAAACCACACGAAGCCTTCAGATGCTCTGGATTCACCCCCACTTCCAAAACGGCTGCGAAGAGAAGTCCCTCAGAAGACAGTGGTCCTCAAGGAAGAGGAGGAAGAGAAGCCAGGGAAGGAAGAGGTGAGGAGAAGGCTGGGGCTGCGAGCTGGGAAGGGGCTGGGGGCTCAGAAGTTCCCACCAGGATCCTTCTCAATTCCAGGATGTGGTGATGCCAGGACCAGGCAAGAGAAAGAGAGACCGGGCTGAGGAAGAACGCAAAGGAATGCCAGTCCGTGGCCTCCGACGGACTAAACCTAACCATGAGCCCGCAGCCCCCAAAGTAGGAGAGAAGGGGCCTGGGGCTTCGTGGGAGCAGATGTGGGGAGGGGAGGGGAGGGCCTTGGGAGATAGGCACTGGTGCAAGGCTTGTTGTGACCAACGTAGGCCCATCCCCTCCACAGGTGCTCTTCACAGGAGTGGTGGATGCCCGTGGAGAGCAGGCAGTGGTGGCCCTGGGGGGAAGTCTGGCCAGCTCAGTGGCAGAGGCGTCCCACCTGGTGACTGATCGAATCTGCCGGACAGTCAAGTTCCTGTGTGCCCTGGGGCGGGGGATCCCTATCCTCTCCCTGGACTGGCTGTACCAGGTGAGGAGCCAGGAGATGGTGGCAGACCAACGGAGAAAATGGCGGGAGGAAGAGGGGTGCAGGCAGACCAGGGTGAATGAGCGGAAGCCTTCATTCAAAAACACTGTGAGCCCCTGTCAGTGCTAGGCTTTGGTACTGACTGCTGCCGCCCTTAGTCCCGCAAGGCCGGTTGCTTCTTGCCCCCGGATGACTATGTGGTGACTGATCCTGAGCAGGAAAAGAACTTTGGCTTCAGCCTCCGTGACTCCCTGAGCCGGGCTCGTGAGCGAAGGCTGCTAGAGGTGAGGGACTGTCTTCCTCCGTGTGCTCTAGCCCTCCCTCCAGAAGCTTCCCTGCAGCGCATGGCTTCAGTGCAGCTCTCCACTGGCTCCACCTTTTCCTTCCTCCCAGGGCTATGAGATTCATGTGACTCCTGGAGTCCAGCCACCACCACCCCAGATGGGAGAGATCATCAGCTGCTGTGGAGGCACTGTCCTACCCAGCATGCCCCGGTCCTACAAGGTATAGGGGAGTGTGTTCTTTATCTGGGGAGCTGCAGATGGGAACACTCTAGTGAGAGGGCTGGGGGAAGACCTATGGTACAGAAAGGGATAGGAGCCCAGCCAGTGTGGCTCAGTGGTTGAGCATCAACCTATAAACCAGGAGGTCAGGGTTCAGTTCCTGGTCAGGGCATATTCCCAGGTTGCAGGCTCAATCCCCAGTGTGGGGCATGCAGGAGGCAGCCAGTCAATGATTCTCATCATTGATGTTTCTATCTCTTTTTCCCTCTCCCTTCCTCTCTGAAATCAATAATATTTTTTTTAAAAAAGGGAGAGGGAGCCCTAACCAGTTTGGCTCAGTGGATAGAGCATCGGCCTGTGGACTGAAAGGTCCCAGGTTCGATTCCGGTCAAGGGCATGTACCTTGGTTGCGGGCACATCCCCAGTAGGTGTGCAGGAGGCAGCTGATCGATGTTTCTCTCTCATCAATCTTTCCAACTCTCTATCCTTCTCCCTTCCTCTCTTGAAAAATCAATAAAATATTTTTTTTTTTTTTTAAAAAAAGGGAGAGGGAGATAGGAATGGCAGAGGAGCTCTGCTGATACCTGCTGGATTTTGTTTTAATTTGCATTTTATTTTTTAAAATATGTTTTTATTGATTTTTTTCTTTTTTAATTTTGTATAATTTCCTGGATTAGTGCAATAGCTTAATTTTTTAGAGCGAATCATCGATTCGCTCTAAAAAATTGAGCCAGCAACCCGGACATGTGCCCTGACCGGGAATTGAATAGGTCAGTGGTCAATCACTGAGCCACATTGGCCCGGCCTTTTTTTTATTCCTCACCAGGGGATATTTGGATATTTTTTCCATTGAGTGGAAGGAAGGAAGAAAGGAAGGGCGGGGGGTGGGGGAGTAGAGAGAGAGAGAGAGAGAGAGAGAGAAACATTGATGGCACATCAATTGGTTGCCTCCCGAATGAACCCCAACCAGGACCGGGGATTGAACCACAACCAATGTATGTATCCTTGACTGGGAATCAACTGAGACCCTTTGGTCCCTGGGCCAACGCTCAACCAAACTTGCCAGGGCCCACCCACCTTTTTATGCCAGTGACTTTCTGCAGAAGCTAGGTCAGTGTAATTTAGATGTCCCTCAGGCTGGATTCTTCTGTTTGCTCCCTGGTTGTACCACTTACCTTATTCTCTATCTTCTATTATTTCATGTAAACGGTAATCAGTTTTAAAAGCTTGAATAAATTCAGGTTCCACATTTCTGGCAAGAGCACATCACAGACAGCGTAGTGTACTTTATGTGGCATCGTATCCAGAGCTCCTGTCTTAGTGATGCCTGGACTGATGAGTGGGTCCTAAACCTACTTGTAGGGTTCTTTTTCCCCTGACTTTCTGCCTCTGCTGTGTGTCCTCCCAGCCTCAGAGAGTTGTGATCACATGCTCCCAGGATGCCCCTCGATGCACTGCGCCTTTCCGGCTTGGGCTGCCCATCCTCTCACCAGAGTTCCTGGAGGTTTAAGGGAGTGCTGAAGCAGGAAGCCACGCCAGAGGCCTTCGTTCTCTCCACTTTGGAAATGGCATCCCCCTGAAGACCCCTCCCCAGGACCCTTTTTCTTCCCAGATCAGTAAACAGAAGACACTGGGGAGAAGAACTTAGGGCTTTAGGAAGGATTGGGGTGTACTGATCTGATTTGTCTTGAAACATGAGTGGGGCTGAAAAAGCTTATAGGAACACAAAGATAGGGAGGTTGGGAGCCACAGATACCTTAAGTGTGCTCATCTTGAGGTGGACTGATGTACCTACTGCTCAGTGCCCTGCCTCCCATTTGGAAGCCATCTCACTTCTCTTTGTTATTGGAATTCTTACTTATCCTCCAAAACATAGTAGAAACAATTTCAATGCCAGAAACTTGAAGGGATGCTTGGAGTGAGTTAGTTTGAGGGTGGTTAAGGAATGCTACAAAAAGATTTACTTCTCTCCTGGCCCCATCTTGTTAGAAGATCCTTTAGCTTGGACTTTGAGCAAGTCTCTGCACTTTTTCAGGCCTGCTTTTCCAGTATGTATCAAATTAGAGCTTAGGCTTAAACTTTATGATAAATAAATATTCACTCTGTGCCTTATGGTGTAGTGCAGTTTTTTGTGTTTTTTTTTTATCCTCGCCCAAGGATATGTTTTTCTATTGGTTTGAGAGAGAGAGTGAAAACATCCATGTGAGAAAGAAACATTGATCAGTACGTCCCAACCAACCGAGGGGCGGGGGAGGGGGTTGAACCCACAACCTTTTGGTGTACAGGATGACACTCCAACCATCTGGCCAGGGCAGTGTAGTTGTTATTTTTTAATATGACATTCCTTAAATTTAAGTTTAAAAGGTTGATTACAAGGATATGGAGAAATTGGAACCTTATACATTGCTGGCAGAAAATCAGAATGGTTCAGCCGTTGTGGTAAACAGTTTGATGGTTTCTCAAAAAGTTAAATATGTAATTGCCAAATGACCCGGCAGTTCCACTTGTAGGTATATAGCTGAATTAAAATAGATGTTCACAAATACTTGTACACAAATGTTCATATAAACTCTTTTCATAAGAGCCAAAAGATAAAAACAAATGTTCCAAATTGTGGCATATCCATACAATGGATTATTACTCAGTCACGAAAAGAATTGAAATACTGATTTATACCACAGTGCTTTGAGGATGAACCTTCAAAGCATGTTACGTGAAAGAAGCCAGACACAAAAGGTCACATGGTCTGATTTCACTTACAAAATACCCAGAATAGATAAATCCATGGAGATAAGTAGATTGGTGGTGCTCAGCCAGCATGGCTCAGTGGTTGAGCATCGACCTATGAACCAGGAGGTCCCGAGGCACATGCCCAGATTGCAGGTTCAATCCCCGGTGTGGGGTGTACAGGAGGCAGCTGATCAATGATTCTCTTCATTGATGTTTCTATCTCTCCCTCTCCCTCTCTGAAATCAATAAAAATATGTGTGTGTTTTTAAAAGTAGATTGGTGGTTGCAGGGGCTGGAGGGAAGGGAGATGGAGAGTGATTGCTCGTGGGCACAGGTTTATGTGGTAAGCAGGTAAGCATGCTTTGGACTTAGACAATTGGTGGTTGCACATTGTGAATGTCCTAAATGCCACTGGATTGTTCTCTTTAAAATGGTTAATTTTAGGTGAATTTCACTTGAATAAAAAAATTTTTGTTGATTAGTTTTGTGCATTTTTCTGCAGGTAAGTTACACCTAAGTTTGGAAAACTTTGGTATAGTAGAAATAGCATAAGCTTTGCTGAACACTGCTGGCTTTTAAATATACCTAATCTTAAAATAAAATAAAATAATAAATAAATAAATAGACCTAATCTCTTAATGTAATATATTAAGCACAGCTGTATTAGGTGTGGCACATGTAAGACCCAAATAAATGTTAGTCCCATTGCACAACTCAAAGCCTCACTGTGTGAAATTCTGTTCTCAAGGTTCAGGGGATTCCTCCCTATAGCCCCATTTAGCATTCCCACTTCGTTAAGTGCCTCCATTTAAAATTATAGAGAATCTTAAACTTCAGTGAATCCTAAGCTTGTAGCACAATGTGTAATGTGTCTCTATCAGTCAGGGTCCTGGCGGGAAACCATAGCACAGTCAAATGGGGATAATTTGGGGAGCGTTGAACAAAGTGAAAATTACGAAGAACTAGGTGGCGATGAGAGAAATGACAAAGAATAAAGCAGCGTCCCAGTGCCCACAGGTCTGTGATGACCCCTCCGAGCCCAAAGAAGGAAAGAGGGAGCAGTTCTGGGGAGAGCGCTCCCTCGGTAAACACGGAGGCGCATTGATGTCTGCCGTTCAGGGCACTTCCTGAAGCAGAAAGGGCGGAGAGTGAGTCTGGAAGGAAAACAAGATGTCTGGTAAGGTACACCTCAGTTCTCCAACTTACTTTGTTTCGGAAGGTTGTTCGAAAAGCAATTTGTTTGAAAACCAAATCATTTTTTCCCATTAGAGATAATGTAAATTGAATTAATCTGTTCCAGACCCCCAAATTGATTCCCTGTTATAACCTTTCCTATATACAGTACATGTCTAACATAGTGTTTAATCTATAAATAAACACTTTAAAAACAAAAAGGACCCTATCCAGCCCTAACTGGTTTGGCTCAGTGGACAGAGCGTCGGTCTGCGGACTGGAGGGTCCCAGGTTCGATTCCAGTCAAGGGCATGTACCTTGGTTGTGGGCACATCCCCAGTAGGGGGTGTGCAAGAGGCAGCTGATCGGTGGTTCTCTCTCATCGATGTTTCTAACTATCCTTCTCCCTTCCTCTCTGTAAAAAATCAATAAAATATATTTTTTTTTAAAAAAAGGACCCTATCCAGTTTGGCTCAATGGATGAAGTGTCGGCCTGCGGACTGAAGGGTCCCGGTTTCGATTCTGGTCAAGGTCACATGCCCCGGTTGCGGGCTCAATCCGCAGGGGGGAGGCGTGCAGGAGGCAGCCAATCAATGATTCTTTTGATGTTTCATTCTCCCTCCCTCTGAAATCAATAAAAATATACTTTAAAAAATAAAAAAGAAGCCTGGCAGGTATGACTAAGTGGTTGTGCATCAACCTATGAACCAGGAGGTCACAGTTCAATTCTTGATCAAGGTACATGACCGGGTTGTGGGCTTGATCCCAAGTGTGGGGCATGTAGAAGGCAGCCGATCAGTGATTCTGTCTCATCATTGATGTTCCTATTTCTCCCTCTCCCTCTGAAATCAATAAAGATATGTTTAAATATATATTTAAGGAAAAAAAAAAGGTTGCTGGTA